GGGTGGGAAGAGATGGAGCCGTCCAAGAAGAAGTTCAACAAGTGTTTGAACAATGTGTAAGTACAACATTAGTTTTTGAACAAAGTGTATAAAATATTTAAATATGCTTTTATCTATATTTCAGGAGTCCCTATCCCAGACTATAACTCCTGCTGAAGACGATGATTGCAGGAGTTTATTGAGTCGGGTGTTGAATATTCCTGAGTACTCTGGGCGTGTGAGGGGCAAGGGATTTGGTGTCACTCCATCCAAACTGTATAAGCAGCCAAGGAAAAAAAATCCAACCAATAAAGAAGTGATGGCTACTTTGGAGGAAATGAAAGCTCAAATTCGTGAATTACAGAAGGATAAGGAGAGAAACATGTCCGAAAGGCGCGCTCCAGAGGCCGGTAAAGCTACTAGTGACAAAGATAGTATCGGTTGTCCGCAGAAGCTTCCAGAGGTAATTGTATATATTACATTGAAATTAATTTAGCACATTTTTCTTAATTGACACATTAACTGATCATTATTTGTTTAGGGCATTTCACCTTGTCGACTATATTTATCGTCGCCGACTTATCGCATGGTTGGCAAGGGAAAGGTGCATAACACCCTGGGAGACTTACTTCACCATAAACCCCTCCCTGTTGGATTTTTGAAAGTATCTGTTGATATTGCATTAGAGAGGGGGGGGGGCGTTGTTGCCTATGCCAGACGATGTATCAGACGCAACAGTGGTGGGAGACGCGATAAGAGCTTATGTAGCATGGCCGACGAATCTCATTTTCATAGATGATGAGGTAGGTTGAACCTTGTAATATTCCAATGTTTTATTACCCATACATGAAAGTTATTCTGACATTTACACTTTCTTATTGACATGATGATCTTAGACTCCCACAAAATCCAAAACAAAAGATGATAAAATTATTGTGCGAGATACCGATTCAGCTGCATCAAAGTTACAGGTACTAGTACTACAGTTTAAGTGATTATTTTATTATAAATTATTTACTGAACTTATATATGACTTTTAGGTTCTTGATCAGCAGTCGCAACAAGTCAGCAAGGGAAACATGCCTGAAACTTCCAAGGTGCCCAAAAAAAAGGTCGAGACAAAAAGAGCATTTGTTCCTCAATTTAGGATGTGCCTTCAAACATATGTAGGGACAACAGACGTGCCTGAGGGCGGCATCCGTCTAATACATATGGATCAAAGTATTTTCGGTTTTGAATATTCCGAAACACTTGCTAAGGAGGATTTCAACCAGGTTTTCAAACATTTAGAATTGGGCGTCGGGGTTATGCATTCCTACATCAGGTACTTCGATCCATTTTAATTAGATAATTGAACATTTTAAAATTCACTCGTTTAACTGAATAATCTAATGTTGATTATATTTTTTTTAGGCTCTTGTATGACAAGTTGTTGGTCCCCGCTGATTTGACTTCAGTATTCGCATTCTTATCTGCTAGCAGTGTCAACTCACGGACAATAGACCAGACACCAGAAGCAGTCAAAGAGTACACAGTCCAGAGATTTATGGGTGCGAATACGGAGAAGTTGTTTATGTTGCCATATAATACTGGCCATGAGTTAGTTTTTATTCTAAATTCATTTATTATAATTGTTCGATTTTTGCCATATTATATAACATTTCCGTCTAAACTGTTGTCTTATTTTATAGTGGTCACTGGTTGTTGGTCGCAATTAATCCGATTAAAGAAATAGTGTATTATATAGATTCATTGAATGACGATACAAACAAATATGAAAATCTGAAGAACATGGTTGATACGTAAGTGATGATATATAATGTTCTGAATAATTATATATGTTTATTTATTATGTGACATTGTTCTAAATATGTGTTTATATTATGTTAGAGTTATACAAATATACAGAGCACAGAGACATGCAACAATGCCAAAAAGCAGGGCTAGCAACATCAACTGGATCAGAGTGGAGGTATATTTTCCCATGTTTAACTGTTATAGTGGTTCTACTTATAAAACTATTTAAACTATATATCCTGATAAATGTTCGTTCGCTTTTTTCCTAATACAGTGTCCTCGTCAACGTGGTGGGATTGACTGCGGATATTTTGTACTGCGCTTTATGAAGGAAATCATTCTTTCTGGTCAATTAGAGATTCCAATCATGGTATGGATCAATTCATGAGTTATATGATTCATTTTGATAATTAACTAATATTTCATCTGAGTAATTAGTATTAAATCGTGCTTGTTCTGTTATATTATGTAGTATTTTGATGAATTCAAATGCGCTACGTACTCGAAAGTAAAATTGGAAGAAATTAAGGAAGAATGATGTCAATTTATGATTGAGTTAAGAATTCTATAATGTATATTGGATTTGTAATTATGTGTAAATTGTATATTGTATATTGTATATTGTATAATGTACAATGTTTAAATTATGTGTAAATTATACTTGAGTTAATTATGTGTAAATTGCAAAGTGTTATTGTATAATGTACAATGTTTAGTTATATTGTGTTGAATTAAAGGTCAAGTTATATTTAAGGCTTGAATTATAAGCAGGGAATTTAATTGTTATAAGCAGGTTTGTCTAAAAATATATAAAAAATGTGATTTTTCAAATTTTTTTTTTAAAAACGTGAAGTATAGACAACGCTTTTACAAGAAAGCGCTGCTAAAGGGGGAAAAATAGACATAAAAAAGCGCTGCTATAGGTTAGGAAAGGAGGGAGTCTAAGAAAACGCTTTAAAAAAGCGCTGCTAAAGGGTGATCTACAAAAGCGCTTTCATAAAGCGCTGCTACAGGGGGGAGGGGGAGGGAGAATAGGCAGCGCTTTGAAAGCGTTGCTAAAAGTGATGCCTTTAGCAACGCTTTTTTCACAAAAAAAACGCTGCCTTTATCTTTAGCAGCGCCACTTTAGGCAGCGCTTTAAAGCGCTGCTAAAGGTCAAAAAAAGCGCTGCTAAAGGCCATTTTTGGCATAGTGTTAGTTGTGTTGGGTTGGACTTTCAATTCTTGTTCAGTCATAGATATATTTATAACTATTTTAAAATATGAGCAATGTTAACTTAAAGACACATCTTAAAAAATTGAAGAAAAATTTGTATTGAAAAAGTAAATAAAACAATCAATTATAAATATTTAGTCAAATTAATGCACAATTTTCAAAAACAAAGTTTCTACATTCAAAATAAAATTTTCATCAATAATTTTTTTAACATGTGCTATTGAAAAATAAGTTAGTATTATCCTTAAAATATTAATAATTTTAGTCTTAAAAACGCTTTGACAAATTAAATTAGGGAATCATTATGCTATTCTCCTTTATTTTTTAATAAAAAATTGAAATATCCCATTACATCAATCAATTATGCAAATCCAAGTTCATTATATTTATCTATCTTTTATTTAAAATTTATTTATTTTTATGGATAGTCAAAATGATAATAATTATTTGTTCCCGACTTATCAAAATAATTTCGCATTACTTATGAATCAAAACTAAAATTGTTTATATACTCCGTACAATAACATTCATGTATCTTATTTAACAAAACACATTTTCTAAAATACAAAATCATAAAGGTTGTCACATTTAAAATAAATAATATCTCATAGTTATAAGGGTGAGAATATGTCAGATCAACTAACAGAAATCTATAACCTAACCTATATAGACTCGGGCCAACCAAATTTTTTCTTAAATAAAAAAGGTCTAGATTTTTTTCATAAGCCTATTTAATTAAAAAGGCAAAACCACATGGCGTAAGAAAAACCTTTTAAGTTTATCAGGTCGGTCTATTTAAAAAACTCAATAAATTTATTATTATTATTATTATTATTATTATTATTATTATTATTATTATTATATTCTATTTTATACTTTAAATTATATACGAAAATAAAGTTTAGTTATCTTGAAGAACATATCAAAATAAGTTGAAAAAACATTATAAACAATGTTATAAGTTGTTGTCATAAATTTCTTTTATAAGTTCTCTTCATAAAATAGTATCACCAAACTTATACTAAATGAACTTGAATGATTCAATAAAAACAAACATTTAGTCTTATTGATCTTTTATTTTGTTAGTTTATTTAACATTAGTTGAATTTTTTATTTACAAATGCTCAAATAAATTATGTTTTTTAATAGGCTAATACGCCAATCAAACTTTCAAAAGATCAGACTATAATAAACTACAAACCAAACTTACACTTTAAATTTTTTAATAGGTCAGACTCAGACTTAACAAAGTCTAACTCAGTCCAATCTATTCTCACCTCTAACTTTAATAACATAGAGTTGAGGACGGCCAAAACATAACAATATCAAATTTTAATAATTGAGTTAGAAGAGTTAGAAATTTTAAATATTTACTAGTATCAATATACAAAGGTAACATTAACAGAGTATATTCATTTTTCTTCACAAATACTAACAAATTAATACTCCTCCAATGACTCCTACTACCTAATACTACATCTTTAGGAGGGAACAAGAAAAAATATAAAAACCATCGCGTGAATTCACGCTACCCACTTGCGCTTGTTCGTGAGCATATATCTACCCCCAAAACCCTCTTCAATTTTCGTTTCTGAGTAACCACAACACTGGAAAAAAAAACTTCACCAGAGAAAATTCTCAAAAAAGCTTCATAGAACCGCAAAACCCAGAAACCCAATATTCACCCAAAAAAACCAAAACGCATAACTTCCATTCAATCCAACCCAAAATCACGACAATGTTATTTTCTCATTCGATTTCTAGGGTTTCATTTCCCCACAAAATTTCTACCTTTTACCATCAAACTCACCTTCAACTGAAGGCGCCGTGTTAGTTTTCTTCTCAATTGGAGTGAATCCGAACACCCAATTGGTTGAAGAAAACAATTATCGAATACCCATTTGCTAGTTTTCTACAGAGCGAAAAACGTTTTTGTTTTCTGTTTATTGAATTTTATTTATCTTACTGCTTGGTGGAGTTCTATTTATATTTTGTTTTGCATTGTTGTCATGCGATCATTACCTTCATCGTCGGGTAGGGGCAACGGTGATTCAGGTTCGAGGGTTAGGAAGAAACATAAGAAGTTGGATGCAATATGTGAGGAAGAGTATAATCGACACCATGGTGAGTTGAATGAGGGTGATAATTTGAATCCTGATTCAGGGGTTCGCAGAAGCTCTAGGGTTCGGCGTGTTCCGGTCGTGCTTGATGCCTCTCCTTCGCCCAAGAAGAAACGGCAGAAGGTAGGGAAAGATGTAATGCTGAAGAGTGTGGAAGGTGATAAGAATTTAGGGAGAGCAAGTGGGGGTTCGGGTGGTTTGAGATGGAGTTTGAGGTCGAGGTCGAGGGGTAAGAATGTGAGTTTTGAGGTGGAGGAGAGAGAATTGCCCCGTAGGAAAAGGAAGCTGTTTGATGAGGAGTTGGAGGTTGTAGAGGTTGACAAGGACGAGGAGTTGGAGGTTGTAGAGGTTGATAAGGACGAGGAGTTGGATGTTGTAGAGGGTGATAGGAAGGAGGAGTTGGAGGGTGATAGGAAGGAGGAATTGGAGGGTGATAAGAAAGTGGAGTTGAAAGGTTATACACGAAAAAGGTCTAGGTTGAAGAGAACGGGGAAATTTGAAGCGATAAAGTATGTAAAAGGGCTTGAGGAAAGTGAGCGTCAAGAAGTGGAGCTTGTAGTTGTATTGAACCAAGGCGAGGGGAGTGCTTTGGGTCCGGAGACCGAATTGGCTGATGAAAATCCAATAGATTTGAGGGATGAGAATGCTGCTTCTGAGATGGGGAATGAGGAGATTGAAACTGATAATTTGCAAGCAGAGGAATGTAGTGGTGATGTTGAACTGTCTCCTGTGGAACATGTAGAAACTGTTGATGAACAGGGTGATCAAGTAGAGAGTGAGAAGGAAGAAAAAGATGCAAGTGATGTTGAAATTGCTGGAGTTTCAGCTAAACAGGTAGATAATGAAAATGAAGGTTCTGTTGACAAGGAGGCTCACATTGAGGAAAACGTCTCGAAAGATGAGAATATTTTGAGGAAGGATGAGTTGAAACAAGCATCAAAAGACAAGTCTGGGTACCGATGTATCAAAGAGGGCAGACGGTGTGGTTTGTGTGGAAGAGGGAGCGATGGTAAGCCTCCAAAAAGGTTAACTCAGGATAATGGTGAAAGTGAGAATGAAGCTTATAGCGGCTCATCAGCTTCAGAGCAGCCTACTTATGATACCTGGGATGGTTTTGACGATGGACCTGGCTGGCTTGGGCGTCTTTTGGGCCCTATTAATGATCGTTATGGTATTGCTGGAATATGGGTGCATCAGAATTGTGCTGTATGGAGTCCAGAGGTGTGATTTTAATCTAATAGTTTCTTCAATGTTGGTTTGCATCAGTAAATTAAATACATTTTCTTGAATCTTGATCTTTATCATTAGATTCTGCATATCTGAGGTTGAACATTAGTCTAGGACTTGACAAAATGATCGTGCTGAATACGCTAATGCTCCATGTCTGTTTTGAGTAACTAGTAAGAGTATTGCTAAAGGTAATTGTTAAAAAGGTAGCTTGTGCGCTGTAGCACCTACATCTCAAGCTTCCCAGTTAAGGCATAAATATAAGTCAACTGTTTACTTTTAAAGAACTTGGTCTAGGATACTGTTAGGTTCGTTTCTTTGAGCAAGAAATAGTTCCTAAAATAATGGTATAAAAACAGATTCAAATGAATAAAGCTTGCAAACAAATGAAGAATTTCTTATTGATGTAGTGAGATTGGAAGAGAAGATACAAACAGTATACAATGAAGATTATAACTTTGCACACAAAGCTACCTCAAAGGTGCACTCTCCTTTCACACCAGAGCATTTCTTTTGGTACTAAACTTAATTATTCGAAAACTATCTTCCCCCTCTACCCTTGAGGGCTATTAAAGACTTTCTAAGAAAAACCAAAACAACAATCTTAACAACCACCTAACAAACTTATCAACTTGCTAACTAACTTCTATTAAATTCTTAACTCCAATCCTAACAACTCTCCTTTATTTTAAGTCCAACAGATGTAGATAAAACACTAAACTTCAGGTGAACCCAGATGCTTTATAAATTTGATGCTGTGTTTCTTTGAACTCTTAAAAGACTTATTTTATTAAATTATTTGTGTATCATTTCAATTATTTAATTTTTTTACTACAATATGGATGTTGCATAATTAATATTGCCTATAGAGTTAAGCAGGTATTGTCAACTTGTGAAGCGGAATGTTCTTCTCGTTCTTTATCAAAACTGTCAGCTCACAAGCTAATAATCTTCCCATTTGAAGCTTAGTCACACCTTTTATGGCCAAGTAAATATTCATTTTGACAAACTCTTGCAGGTTTATTTTGCTGGCTTGGGATGCTTAAAAAATGTGAGGGCTGCACTTTGTCGAGGAAGAGCATTGAAGTGCACACGTTGTGGGAGGCGAGGGGCAACCATTGGCTGTCGTGTTGACCGTTGTCCCAAAACTTATCATTTGGTTGGCTCCATATATTTTCTTTCGAAATGAAATTCAAATATTCTACAAACTAGGAAAACATGTTTTTCTTTACCTATCTCAACCAGAACTAACACTATCTATCTTTTGCAGGCTTGTGCAAGAGCAAATGGTTGCATCTTTGATCATCGGAAATTTCTTATAGCTTGCACAGATCATCTGCATCTTTTCCAACCTTGTGGTAATAAATATTTAGTCCGGATGAAGAAGTTGAGGGCTAGGAAAATGATGTGGGAGACGAGGAAGCGTTCAAATGATGCTTCGAGAAAGGATATTGATGCAGAAGAGAGATGGTTGGAGAATTGTGGGGAGGATGAAGAATTTTTGAAACGTGAGAACAAGAGGCTTCATCGTGATTTATTGAGAATAGCCCCAATGTATATTGGTGGTCCAGACTCTGCTGGTAGTGAAAATTCATTTCAGGGATGGGAATCTGTTGCTGGGCTTAAAGATGTCATCCGTTGTATGAAAGAAGTTGTTATTATTCCTCTGCTATATCCCGATTTCTTTGATAATTTAGGACTTACACCTCCAAGAGGTGTTCTTTTGCACGGGTATCCCGGAACAGGGAAAACCTTAGTGGTCCGGTCATTGATAGGTGCATGTGCTCGTGGAGATAGACGGATTGCATATTTTGCCCGTAAAGGTGCAGATTGCTTGGGTAAGTATGTGGGTGATGCTGAGCGTCAGTTAAGACTGTTATTTCAGGTTGCTGAGAAATGTCAACCTTCTATAATATTCTTTGATGAGATCGATGGGCTGGCACCCTGCCGAACTCCACAGCAAGACCAGACGCATAGTTCTGTTGTATCAACATTGCTTGCTCTTATGGATGGTTTAAAATCTAGGGGCTCAGTTGTGGTCATAGGTGCAACAAACCGTCCTGACGCTGTTGATCCAGCACTTAGGCGCCCTGGAAGATTTGATCGAGAAATTTACTTTCCGTTGCCATCAACTGAAGACAGAGCTTCCATTCTTTCACTTCACACACAGAAGTGGCCAAAACCAATCAGTGGATCCTTGCTTGAGTGGATTGCAAAGAAAACTTCTGGCTTTGCGGGTGCTGATCTTCAGGCTCTTTGTACCCAAGCGGCTATGAATGCGCTGAAGAGGAATTTCCCTTTGCAAAAGGTTCTATCTGTAGCTGAAAAAAGAAATTCTTCTGGTTGTAAGAACACTCCTCTTCCATCGTTTACTGTAGAGGAGAGGGATTGGGTAGAGGCTTTTTCGTCTTCGCCATTGCCGTGTTCCCAGAGAGAAGCTGGAAATGCTGCAAATGGTGTAGTATGTTCCCCTCTTCCTGTCCAACTTATTCCTTGTTTATTGCGTCCATTATGCACTATTCTTGTATCTCTTTATCTTGATGAACGGCTGTGGTTGCCACTTCCTATATCCAAAGCCATGACATCGATTAAGAATGTAATAATTTCTGTTCTAGACAAAAAGAAAATGCCTATTGATCATTGGTGGTTGCACCTTGATGATTTTATTCAAGAAACAAATGTTGCTTACGAGGTAAGTAAGTGCCTTAGTTGTTCTGGCATTTTATCTGCAGACCATGGTTTTTCTGGTTCTTGCGATATTATGGATCATGCCAATGATAAACCCTCCAATAAAAACCATGTTAACCTGTGTAATGCTAGATTACCAGACATGCCATTTGGAATGACCAACAAATCAGGTTTTCGAATATTGATTTATGGAAATCCCCGATCTGGCCAAAGACATCTTGCTTCATGCCTTCTTTACTGCTTTATTGGAAATATTGAAGTACAGAAGATTGATATGGCAACTATTTCACAAGAAGGGCATGGAGATATTGTGCAAGGGATTGCACAAATATTAAGTATGTTTCTTTTTCTTAGTTTTTACCTATGCAATGTTGGTTACTATCTTTTTGGAGTTAATTGTTGACTAAGACTACGTTTGACTTGATTTACTGTTTATTTATTTTCTCCTTAAAAGAAGCAGCTAGGCCAAACAGTATTTTTAAAAAGATCTTAATTAAAAATGAATTTATCTTTCATGTATAAAAACTAACTTTTCAAGTAGTTGAGGAAAGTTTTTTCAAATCAAATAGGACCTTTGACAATTTTATCTGTTTTTCATCATTTAACTCAAATTTTATCGAACATTATGGCGTCATTTGATCGATGCAGCCGACCCCACTTAGTGGGATAAGGTTTTGATTGTTGTTTCATCATTTAACTCAAATTCTATCGTTCTATAAAAAAATCTAACAATAGTTATCAAACAACTTTAGCTTTATTTGTTAAGTTCTTAATTTTACATTTAATTTTGAAGTATAACTTTTAATCAAAAATAGTCAGACCAAACAGAACCTTAGTATGCTAATTAACAAAACCCTAGGATCTAATAAGCTATTCGTCATTTGTTTACTGTTGTTGAGGTTATGACTTTTAACTAAGGCTTACAAAAAGTGCCTTTTTTTTCTCTAGCCCTTAAAAGATGTCAGTGTGATAGTTAATCAACTTTTTGCTCTATCCAGAAACATGGATGCTCAAATGCTTTATAATTGTAGCAACTTCTAGATCCAATACTCATTAGTTTCTATGTGGCAGTGAAATGTGCTAGCACGAAATCTTGTGTAATATTCATGCCAAGAATTGATTTGTGGGCTGTGGAGGAGGATGTCAAAATCGCCGAAAAGACCGATTCCTGCTCAATGGATCAACTATTGTCTGAGATGGACAAGTCCTGTTTCACGCCAAGCCAAATTGATGAGAAGGAAAATGGGATCAATACTGGGAAACACCAGGCAGAGATGATCGAATGTGAATCCAACAAAAAGGCTTCATATGCCTGGATGACATTTATTGAGCAGGTGGAGTCCGTTGGTTTATCCACATCCTTGATGATTCTGGTATGAGAACTTTATCTTGCTTGTAATAAGTAAAAATGTTTTTGACAACCGGTTTTTATAATTTTTGCGCCTTTATTTTCAATTAAATGTTTAAAACAATGATATTCATATTGAGTAACGCTAGTGAGGTATCGGATAGTGGGATGGCTGCTATGTTGAAATTTTTTTATAGTAAAATAATTTAGGTTTAATTACTCTAAAGATTTCTAAACTACTTGATTTTCTTAAATAGGTCCATGAATTTAAAAAGTTTGTTATATTTTTCATTTGTAACAGGCTACTTCAGAAGTTCCCTATACTGAACTTCCACACAAGATAAGAGGATTCTTCAAGAGCTATCAATCAAAGGACAGACAATCAACTCCTGTAGTGCAAACAGTTCCTCAATTTTCTCTGCATATTGACGAAAATTTTGATCACAACTTAGCGACCAATCTATCTGCAATAGAGCTTTTAAGAAATGTAATTGAGCAGCGGATTCAATTGATTCATCAGAGGTCTCATGCTCACATTAGTGTCCAGAAGCTTGACAGAGCCTTTGAATCAATTGAAGTTTGTAAAGATAAGGTCACTCAGAGAAAAGAAAACGAACCAGGCCATGAGAAGCAGGGTGAAGTCCAATTTCCTGAATCCTTGGCCAAAGTTCCACAACCCAACAACAGTAGGTCATTAAAAGGAAAGTCGAATGTTTTAATGGCAATATCCACATTTGGCCATCAAATTCTTATATACCCGCATTTTGCTGAACTTTGTTGGGTCACTTCAAAACTCAAAGAAGGTCCTTGTTCTGATGCAAGTGGGCCTTGGAAGGGCTGGCCTTTCAATTCGTGTATAATTCGTCCTACCAATTCACAAGACAAGGTGGTAATTTCCAGTAGCTCTGGTGGTGCTAAAAGCAAAGAAAGTGCTGGTTTAGTTAGAGGCTTGGTTGCTGTTGGTTTATCAGCATACAGAGGTGTTTATAAATCAGTTAGGGAAGTTTCCCTTGAGGTAAGGAAAGTACTTGAGATCTTAACTGAGACAATTAACATGAAAATTCGAGCTGGGAGAAACAGGTATCAATATCTGCGTATTTCATCCCAAGTGGCTTATTTGGAAGATATGGTCAACAACTGGGCTTATGCATTGTTGAGGTATTTCTATTTTACCTCTAGGGTCTGTTTGGGTTGACTTATTTGAGTTTATTTATTGACATAAACACTTGTAAGACTGTTTGAGAGAGTTTATGGAAACAAATTATGACATATTTATTAGTTCTTCAGGAAAACTTTTGGAAATGACGTATATAATGATAGTATAACTGTATTTTATCTTTTGTTATAGAAATAACTTATATATAAATGCTCATCATGCTATAAGCGCTGGGTTAAACTGTTGATCCAAATAGGACTTTACATACCTGTTTTTTTTTTGTTTTTTTTGTTTTGTTTTCTGTATGGCTGTCTTTTTAACAGTTATTTCTTCCATTACAGTCTAGACCAGGCTTCACCAGAGCTTGCAGCAAAGGCCATACCAGAAGCTGGCGGGTCTTTAAACAGTCATCTCGCATGTGAAGACCCCCACATAGCCGAAGGTGAGGATTGCCATTTGGTTGTTCCTGCCAGTGGTGATGATTTGGAGACATTGGAGAAAAGTCCTAATGGAGTTTCCTTGAATGAAATAAATGATAATTTAGGTGATACTGATTGTGTAGGCCAAAGAGCGCATTCTGAAGGATCTCCACATAACCATCATTGTCCGAATACGAGTATTACTAACTCTTGTCTTGTAAACCAATCTCTTCATCCATCCACGAATCAGGAGAATGGGGTGTTATCTGGAGCGTCTAAATCAGTAACTACTGAAGATCACGAAGCTGCAGGTGGAGAACTTGGAATGTCAAAAGACTTGAATAAATCAACATGCACTCGCCCTACAGTCGTTTCTGAAAATGGATTTCACACATGTGAACAGGAGGATATTGAGATTGGCAACTCTAAATCAATTGATGTTGAATCTGATAAACATGAGAATACTATAGATAACAACGCCTGTTCAAGTAAGGACAGTGGTCCAGATGAATCTGGGGTTGTTTGCTTTTACCAATGTTGCCCTCATTGTCTCAGAAGCCTCTATCATTTGGTGCGCAAAATACTTGTTCGCGAATGGGGATCGAATAGAAGCCATTGGACAATAGAAGATGTCCATGATGCTGTTTCTACATTATCCGTGGATCTTATTTCAGCCGTTAGAAAATCTTACATGGCAGAAGAAAAAGCCTTCACTGATTTGTCCAATAACAAAACATCTGTTGAATATGCAAACCTGACAACCTGTAATACGGAAAACCGAGGCAAAGATGTTGTGCCGGCTGAATGTGTTTCTCACTCAGCAAGTCAAGATGCAAGTGTGAGTAAAGACGCAGCAACAAATGAACCGGTAAAGCTTGATTTGAAATTTGTTTTCAGAGACGGTGTGCTAGTTCCTATGGACCCTGCAAAAGGTGGCCCTCTTCACTGTAAATTTGAGAAATTGAGTCTTTGTTCTCTGATAGAGTTGATAGTGAAAACTAAGGGCCCTTTAAATTAAGTTATAATTGTTTTATAGTTTTGAATGTTTAGCAAAATTTTGGTGCCTGTGTGGCAGTTGTAAGTAAATTTTTATTAGATTAAGATATAGTTTTTTGACCACAGGAAATTCTCTTGCAGCTTCTTTGAATGTTTTAATTTCGTTAGTGTTGAATAGTCTGATCTTAATTGAACAAACATCGATTTTTATTTGTGCTTTTCCCAACTTAGTTATTACTGCTGAAGGGAGCCAAATGTTTAACAATCATTTATAGTTTTATTTTTAGGGTTTTTGTTTTGTTTCTGCAAGTATATTAGGTTTAGTTAAGATATATAAGCTGTAAATCAAAAAATTAATAGAGGCTATTAATCTTATATATCAATTCTTATGTATCCATGATAAATTGTTGGCTACTAGTACTTTTAATGTAAATTAATTTAAAATATTAATTTATTTTTAAATAAAATATTTATAAAAAATATATGATATTGAATTTAATATTTCATTGGATGAGGGTACCACTATCTAATTGAATATAAGAGTATAGGAGGGTTCATCACTTATATATATATCAATACTAACATATATTTTCTCAATAGTAAGCAACTGTCAAATAAGCAAAGATTGACGGCGGCATAAAGGTCACAATAGTACATAATAAAGTTATGAAATTCAATAATTTATTTGAATCACATATTTAAATAATCCTACCTTTTCTTCCACCCTCTTAGTTTAATCAAATGATAACTTATACAATAAAGAAATGTCCTTGTTGTAGTTGGAATCCCAAGTTTAAATATAAACTCGGCTGGATCCACCTTGAATGTAGCAGAAATTTTCGATTCAAAATTTAAAATAAAATTATTCTTATATTTATAATTTGATTCAGATTTTTTTAAGTTTCACTGCAATTGAAAAGTTTGACATTGTGAGCAAAATTTTGTATACAATAAATATTTTTTCCAATCAATACAATATATATATATATATATATATATATATATATATATATATATATATATATATATATATATATATATATATATATATATATATATATATATATATATGTGAAAAATTAGACAAAATTGTAATCACAAAGCATACTAACAAAGTTTATTTCCACTAAATCAAGACTCTCATATTAACTGTTAGGAAAAAAATATAATACAATTATAATACAATAATTTAATGTGGAACTCAAATTGGAGAAAAATTAGGGTCGTTGTCAAATGACAATCTAAAAATAATACTATGTAAAAATTATTACAATACATAAACTATCTTCAACCACCCAAAATCCTAATGCACCCACACTCTCCAAAATAAATATTTAGTCACTCTTCACAACACTCTAATACACTGATACATTTGGTAATGAAGAACTTGAATCAATTATGTAGTCTTGGACCCTTTCTTCCTTTACAATGCTAAGCTATGTGAGACCTTTTCAACCAACAATCCCCATCTTGATTGAAAATAATACACCAGCTTTTATTGTCTTCACCGTCAATCTCAGTTCAAAAGAACTATCATACTCCAACGTAAAAAGTATAGTCACTTGAAACTACACGCTTCCAAGAGTTTTCACTTTGTCTTCACCAACAATTATTGTTAAAAAACTATCATACTCCACCAGAAGAAGAGTATTATTCACTTGAAGTTAAACAACTCTAAGAATTTTCATATATAAAAAATTAGGTTGAAAACTTATGGTGCAACTTTCATGTTGGTAAAAAACTCTTCAACTATCTACATACTCTCACAACACACTTCGCATCAATGTTAACAAATGCCCATGTGCTAATCCACTAGCAATAGCTCGTCCTTTTCGACGACAACAGAAATATCTTAAATACATATTTCTTAATTTTTAGAAAATATCATTATCCCCGAAAGCGAGGGAGACATTGCTGGCATCTGTCTCAGAGCCATTTTCTGACACTATTCCATCACAACACTTACTCTTTACATGTCCAATCTTTATACATTTCCAGCATCTAAGACTCATTTCATTGTTTTTCTTCACATAAGACCTCCCTATAGCAACCAACCATAATTTTGATAAAGTATTATTCTCACATTCAACTTTTTTTCTTCAAAACTATTTTTAACACCAATTTCTTCAAAACTTAAAGTTCCTTTTGAAGTTGCATGTCTCTACTATATTCAGGGGGATAAACCTAATATGGTTTGTTGCTTGTCTCTTCAGCTTTCGTTTCGTCTATTATTGTTTATAGAGTCTCTTCTTCAATTGCACGTCTTTAGATTAAGTTTTAAATCCATTCGTTTTAGCATGCATAATTCAAGTGTTTGCATTTTAGTATGATCGTTGTGTTTTAAGTCAATTGCTTGAGTTATTGGAACAATAACCATATTTGATGTTGGTTCAAGTTACGTGGGAAGTGAAATCTCAAACCATTTTGAAAAAACTTGAAAAATTGAGATTTCTTGTGTGCGACTCGAATCACTCACAAGTTAAAGCTCAAATAAAATAAAATAAAACAGAGGAGAACATGAAAGTTCTAGTGTTTGTGACTCGAATTATAATTTACACTTGATTCGAATCATGCAACAATGTGACTCAAATCACAAGTTGCACATGATTCAAATCACAAAAGTCTTATTAGACACTGCCTAATTTGATTCGAATCACAATTTCTATGTGACTCGAATCACAAATATTTTCACTTTTTCCTGTTTTCCCCTGCCCATATTGATTTGAATCAGGCTTTGTACATGACTATAATCATGACCTTTCATGACTCGAATCAAAGATACAACATGACTCGAATAACAGGAAATAATTCACTTCTTTTATGTTGATCTTGTTCCATTCTACTTGCTCATTTGATTTAAATCATCAAATGTTCTTGAATTGAATATAACAACCTTTTTCATCTATTTTTGTGCATAATCTCTAGCACATATAAAAATTATTTTTGTCATCTCATAACTAAATGTAGAAAACATAACATTCCAAGTGTAACTTTGTGAATGTGTGAAATCAACAACTATCCATTTTTGAAAACTCAAAATCTTGCAAACACAATTTCTTTCATCTTCAACTTCTGTTTGGATTCATATTCCCATATAAACCCATATGTGGGATGCAACTTCATTGAATAATAGACATCTGCCTGTAGGGAAAATCATGTCCTAGTAGACATGCATGGAAAAATATTCGCCAATTGTTTATCCAAGTTTTTCCTATCTATGAGGGTAACTTTAGTTAGGAAACAAATCTGATCTTCCTTAATGTTATCCATAATTCCATCAGGTTTCCATATAGAGATCCTCTAGTGCAGTGTCAAAGGGATTGCTCCTGCCCCATGAATCCATTCCCTACCAAGCAATAAGTTATAATTTTCCTTGGTTGAAATGACCACAAACAATACGGGTCTTGCAATGATCCCTACAACAATGTTAACTTGTATGACTCCTAGAGAGTGGGTGATTTTTCCTTCATAATTGGATATAATAATGTTATGGGTTTTTAAGTCAATATCATATTTTCCGATCTTCTCTACAAAGAGTATGACGTTAAGTTAATAGCTTCTCTTCCATATACTAAAACCTTATTAAACCTTACATTCTAAACCTTATCCCATATGAAAAGGGGCTCTCGGTGTTGTTGCATTCCCATCTTAGGCCTTTCAAAAGGGCCTTGTCCTCATCCACGTAATCGTTATTCATGACATAGTAACACAACAACTTTCAGTTTGCTAACTCTTCAACAAACTCATTTTCCTCTTCTGTTACCTTAGTGATTGTATCATATTCAATGAGCAAAACAGAAACAACATTATAAATGACATCAAAACAAATCTCTAATCCAAAGTCGAAATTGTCAGCATTTCATCATATTTATTTGGCAAGGACTCCTTTCCGTTTGTTTTAACTTTGGATCGCAAAGGAGGAAAGATTCTTTTCTTCATGAGCTTCTTTGCCATTTGAATCTCAGTTAGTGTTGGGGATTTTCCACTATTGTTTAACTCTACAACCTCTATGGCACTCTTCTTCTTTCTTTAATGCTTTAGCCATTGAGTTCTAGTCATGTTTTTTCCCCAAATAGTTTATTGAACCATAAGAATAATTCTTAAATACTTGAGAATTGTATTGATAGGAAGAATCAACACCAATTTCGAATACCCTCCACTTCTGTTGATCAGAGTTTGGTATGATTGCTATTCGAATCTGTAATATCCCATATACCCTTAAATGCTCAATTGGTCGTCAGTTGAGACCAACTGAGCTCCTATGTACTCTATCTCTTGTCAGTTGGAACAATTTGAGCTCATATGTGCTCTAAATGTTGTCAGTTGGGACCAATAGAGTGACCAGTGAACTCTGAAGAGATTAATCCTTATTATAAGATACTGACCATTATTAGTAAGTACAAGAGAGGGCATTTTGATAACATTAATAATTGGTCAATTGGTATTGGCAGACAAAATATCAATTGAGATATTTTATATCATCACCTAATATATATATATATATATATATATATATATATATATATATATATATATATATATATATATATATATATATATATATATATATATATATATATATATATATATATATATATATATATATATATTAGACATATGTTGTACGGTGGAAAATGAAAGAGAGGATTATATGGGTGAGAAAAGAAGAGGATAAGAAGAATGAGAAGAAAGAGTTGTCAGAAATAAGAAGAAAAGAAAATGTGAAGAAGATAAGAGAAGAAGGGAAAGATAAAGAAAAAATGGAAAGAAGAGAAGAAGAAGAAGAGGGGGAAAAGCTCACGGACTCATCAGCTTCATCATCATCCTCACTAACTTCATCTTTATTTCATCAATCTCATTATCATCTTCTTAAATCATGTGATTTCTAGTTAGAACTTATGATTTTAGGATTTAGGGTTTATGTTATATTTATAGAATGATTAGTAAGGTTCATGATAAGTGTTCTATCTTGGCTATGAGACTTTCATGAACACATGATTTACTCTTAATCTCTATGTTTGT